GGGTGCTTGCACAGTGGGCACTGAGTGTGGAAATATTTTTTGAGGCTATCAAGCTCTGGAGCGTTCTGCACAGGCACCAACATCCATGTGTGTGTGGTGCACAGGGACCATGAAGAACTATTATATATAAATCGAAGCCTATCAGTATTACTGTTGATATGATTTCCATTCCTGCAAGATTGTGCTGTGGACTTTAAAACTGTGTCCCCCACATTGCAGCAGTGGGGAGAAAAGGAGGAACCTTAATCCAAATGTACTGTCTGTAGCCATTATGTTGAATAGGTTTAGCGATGTAAAGGGGGAAAACATGTTTTTAATTTCTACATTTTATCACCATAGATGGTGACCAGGTTTTTTTTTTCTAGAAAGCTCTCCTACAGCCTTGGAAGGAAATTGGATCGAGGCAGACTAGTATCTTCTTTTGTTGATCAAGACTTCCCTTTTCTTTTTAATAAAAGGAGATAAAGGGAAGGATTTAAAATCAAGTGTAGCTACAGCGGTAGAGCTTGCTCTAAAAAAACAAACTGGATTTGTCTTTCCCTATCTGCAGGCATCCCAGTGTAGTGTAATGGACAGAGTGATGGACTATAGAGAACAGGATTCAAATCCCTGCTCAGGCATGGAAACTGACTGGGGGAGTAGAACTAGTAAAACCACTCTTTAAATATCTCACCTTGAAAACCCTATTAGTCTTGCTGTAAGCCAGTTCCAACTTGACAGCACAGAATACACACACTCATCTGCAAGTCAACTATGACAGGATCTGCCATGATTTTATTGGCATGAAAAAAAGGCTGTAGGCCCAAAACCAGAATAGGAGAATAAGTCCCCTCCACCAGCTGACTTTGCTATTGCTGCCTCTCTCCCCTAGCTGAATTTGCACTGCACCATCCTCCACATGCAGAGCCATTGGAAGCTGATGGATTGGCCAATTGGGATCATCCTGCTTCTATAGCTCTGTGACATCTGAGAAATTAAAATAAATAAAAAATAAAAAATAAATAAAATATAGCTCTGTGAGATCTGAGAAATTAGAGTGGAGATGAAGATGGATCTGCCATTGAAGTTTGGAGAGAGAGGGTTAGGGTACATGGCAAGTGTTTGTTCTAATTGATGCAAGTGGCAGAAAAATAATTGTCTCATAGGAGATGATGAGTTTCCAACATAAGGGGATTGTGTCCAACATAGCAGTGCTCACGATCACAGGCTGTATGAAATGGCAAATAATAAACAACCTCCCCAGTTACCAACAACAGTCAGCTGGCTAATAAACAGATGGTGTAATGATTTCAGACCCCACCTGTCTTTTGTTGTTTGCAAATGATGCATACCTGGGTAAGTTGGCTGTTTGCTTGATGGAATGAATTGGTGAGTACCAAATGACTGCCAACAAAGAGTGTCTTGGGGTGTCATAAATGGTTATATTTTTTTATTCTGATGTCTACAATTAGGATAGGAAATCTCAGAAATACATTCTTCTAAGAGTGTGTCAGTAAAATCTAACAAACACATCTCTTTTCCTTTGTTTTATCATCCTATATGTTGCTTGCCCAAAGAATTATTTTCCTGCCTAGGGGAGGAAAAAGCACCACAATTTCCCAGATACAGTGGTGACTTGCATCACGACGTTAATTCGTTCCAGCGAAATCGCTGTAGAATGAAAACGTCGTGATGCGATTTTAAAAAGCCCATAGAAATGCAATAAAACCAGATTAATGCGTTCCTAGGGGCTTCAAATTCACCGTCCAGCGAAGATCATAGCGCGGCCATTTTCGCTGCCTGTGCAGTGAGGAATCTATGCTAAAACATAGCGGGCGGCCATTTTGTTTACCTGGTGGCCATTTTGAAACTGCCGATCAGCTGTTAAAAAATCATCGCTTTGCAATGATTGGTTCCCGAAGCAGGGAACATCATTTTGCGATCGCAAAAAGTTCGTCGTGATGCGATTTCGTCGTCAAATGGAGCGCCTGTCTTGCGGGGCACCACTGTACCTGGCAATCCTATGGCTAAGCCCTTTTAAACTCAAATTACTGCCATTTCTCATAGTCCTTTCAAGTCTGCTTTTGCTCATTCCACTCTTCTCCTGTCCAGATCACTGATCACTGTCTGCATCAGTAGAAATTACAGAGAAACCAATTCACCAAATCTCCAGTGATTTAGTGGGTTAACTCTAGTTGTGGTTTACTACTAGATTTCAACCAACAGGTGCAAAATTCAGGAGTAATGAATTATGCTCCAGTAACATATTACTTTGGGAAATAATTAGGGTGCATCTGGTAATATACTATGTGTGGTGTTTTTTTCCTCCCAAAGGTAATCTTTCCTAGAAGGATATTTTTCTAGCAAAAAACAAAAAAGTCTAACAAAAATGTAAGAACTTCCCAAAATAATAAAATATACAAATTACTTGTCAGTTATTTTAGGGGGTGGGTGGGATTTGTATCAATTTGAATCAACTTACATAACAAAGTATGTTATTAATGCATTACTTCCAAGTTCATGTCTTACTAAACATGCATTTGGGCCTTGAATGAAATCCAAAAAGGGTGTAATGGTGCTTGCTTCACAAATTAAACAGAGAATGTGACTCCTTTAGAAATGCTTTAATTCACAATACTACACAGTAAAAAACAAAGAAAATGACAAAGCTAAAAGTAGAAAAATACATTGTAAAACAATTATATTTTGTTGCTAGACATGTCACATATTTGTTCAAAAAAATTCTATTAAACCATTTTCACAACTTTGTGGACCATTATGGAACAGAAAAGCAAATTTGGGAGCAAAACCTTCTTCTGGAAAAGCCTGTTATTGACGTAGTTTGTAAGTAACCATGATCACTGTGACAGTCTTTCTAGTTAACCTGAATGTGTTGCTGAAGTGTAACATTCTAGGCAGAAACATGGTCTAACAAACTAGACTGGGAGGTTGGTTGATATGTACCAAAATAGAAAACCAGCTTTCATGATTAAAGTCTCTGTGGATTCAAGTTAATTCTAAATAGTAAGACAAATTTAGATGAAAGTCTCATGGAGCATTAGAGCACAGTCATAATGTGTCTAAGCAACTCTACTTTATTTGCTTACTTAGTACTGTTACTGTAAGCAGACAGTGAAACCATGATTACTAAAATTGGAACTTTCTTCTAATAAATATTTTAGTAATAAAAAGAAAATACACACCACCATTTTGAATGGTGCATTAATTACACCAGTTTCCATGCTGCCTGTTTCTCGCATATATCATATACAGTACAGAAAAAGCATATTCAAACAGTACTACCAGTGTCCAGCAGGTGGTGCTGATTTTAAAAAAATCATGCCAGCAATATCCATCTCCATCCCACTTTAAAAAATACATATATAAAACAAAATTATTTGGTCAAAATGTTGTTCCAAAAAGAAAACAAGAGAGAGAAAAATATGTTAAATGCAGCATCCCTTTCCTTTAGGAAATCAGCCCCTTCCTGATTTAGGTGCAATAGAGTCAGACAGTCAGTTTTCTGTGTAAACAAGCCAGGGAGCAAGATCTAATGGCAGAAAATCATTTCTCAAAAGTTTAATAATAGTTCTCAAAAACTAACTTGTGAATGCCCATTCCACGTTTACTGTGTTTTGCTATTAAATCATCAAAATAAAAACTCATTTAACATGTACGTCTCTCAGGATATCTCCATACATGCAGGAAATATGGCATTTAATAGACACTTCTCTAACCCAACCAGGGGAGTTTCAAAAAAATATGAAAAGCAGATCGCCCTAATCTTTCCTTGGCAGCAGAAATCATATTTACACTTTTTCATGGGTTAGGTAACACTTTTATGTCTAATTGTGAAAACCATCCTTCTTGGACAGTAAGACTTTTTACATATCAGAAGGTCTATGAGAATGAAGGTTCTCTGTCTTCAATGACGTGGTTAGATTTGTTCCAGGTGGCACTCCAGACTAGCAACACGCCTTCTCCAATGCTGACTAAAGCGTTATCACTGTTCCGTCTTCTTCAATGCCCCCTTTGGGAATAACTAAGCTGTGCCGAGGATCAGTTTTTAAGGAACTTAGAATTTTGTGAATATTGCCATTGCTTTCTCGTCCCAAGCTGTTATTGAGTATATCCCTTTGTATTCTGTGGCTAAGACTGTTGCCATTAAGTCGAGAAAGGCTACCAGAGGGCAGGCTGTGTGATTTTGGAATAGGCTGGGGTTCCAGACAGCCCTCAATTACAATGTCAGCATCCTCATCACTCTCCATTTCGTCAGGATGGAAGTTCTGCAAGACGTGAGTGGAAGGCAAACTGTGGTGGCTCGCAGTGCTGTCTGTAGACTGGCCAGAACTCCCAGACATCCGACTGCTTCTGATAATATTGTTCCTTTGGTTTGCTGGCTTGACAGTGATGATGAGATTGTGGCTGTTGGCAATCATCATGTCCGTTACCTGGTCTAGGGTTTTTCCTGCCACCTCGATGCCATTCACTTCAAGGACTTCATCATTGACAGCTAGCAAGCCTGTACTCTCAGCTAAACCACCAGGGACCATCCGTGAGATGAAAATGCCAGGTACCTTTTCCAGCCCATGAGGAGTAACTCTAACACTTGTCCCATCACGAATGTAAAATCCTAATGGCTTCTCACACCCATGTCGATACAATCTTACTCTTCTGTGTGTTTCAGGGAGAATGTCCACATCAATGATGGATGACACCGGCCTAAAGTCCTGAGGCATGCTGATATTAACATGGGGTCGTCTGCGAAGGTTGTCATTCCGAAGAGTCACCAGAGCTTTCTTCTTCCTGGTTAAGGTGTTTGAACCAAAGTTCCCATAGTCAGCTTCATCTGGAAAGAGGAAACAAGTTAATTTCATTAATTACTGAACTGAAGGCATTTTCAACCAGCAGTAGACTTATCTTGATCTATTATCTTCATTTAAGAAATGGCAACAATTATGTATGTTGGAAACTGCTTTAATAATTTCACTTAGAAGATAAATGAATCTATAAATCAAAATTAATTGTTCCTGACAAACTATATTTGCATTTTTTTCTTAAGGAATGTCTAGAGGTTGATTGACAGATTAATCAGATCAATCCAAGGGTGAACATAAAGAAAAGAGGCAAGTTTATGCCTTACTCCCTTGCTAGCAGTATCCAGCATGAAACACCAATGTTGACATGGTGGTGAAGATAAATACGTACGTATTGTCATCCCTTCAAGGATCAGCGAAGAACTCAGATGAAGTGATTGATCCATTGTCTAAACGTTTAATTTGATTCTCTTGCAACTAATCTCTTTCTGCTAGTCAAAAATTCATATATATGAGTCCATATATATGAATTTGCTGATTCTAACAAACCAGTGATACATTTAATGTCATATCCTAGCAGCATTTATTACCAGATGTTTCAGACATAACACAGCTGTTAAAGAGCTACTGCAGAAAGATCCATCATCTTTACTCCTCATTTGATCTCAAAAAGATTATTCTCTCATGAAATGTATTATGCAATGATCCTAATAATTATTGTCCAACTTAAAATATATCAACAATCACCTTTGTAAAGTCAGTGTTAGATACTGCAAATGTAATTTTATAGAAATGAATCAGAGAAATTTCAAAAGAAAAGTTAAACCAAACATTCTTCAGATTAGGGACCAGTAAAGTAATTATTTTTCAGGCCCATAGGAGATCAGTCTTACATTTTGGTCAGTATCACCAATTCTCTTAAGCAACACCGTTAATTCCATAAATCAAAATTCTTGTTAGTTCCATAATACATTCTAGTTTGATGGACCTTTTTTCCTCCAGAAAATACTTTCCCCCCAAAATAAAGGAAATACAACATTGACATCTTGTGTATGATATCTTCAGCAACAGAAAGTAATATAGTCATTTGATAAGGACTGATCTGAAATAAATTGTCCCTTCTCCACAAGTGCCCAACATCATAATGTATGTTCAACTCAAGAGTGCAGAGCAAGGGTTTCCTGTTATTGTTCCCTAGCTTCCTTGGTGCCAGAGCTAAAATAAGCTATGAGTGCCAGGACAAATGATGGCAACTAAATGTGTAGGAGGAGCTGAGGAACCAATGAATACTTGCAAAACTGCTTTCATTTATGGTGCTGGTTAAGCAATGACAGATTTACGACATATCTGTGCCTCATCTTGCGCCTGTGGCTGTAAGGACCACTGAAAGATATTGCATATTCCCATTGTTTTATGAAAAGGACAGTTATCTCTTTAGCTTTCTTGACCTCAGCTGCATTTTCCCTGTCTTTGAGACATTTCCTCTTTAAAATCGTACAAGAATGAACACGAATGAACCTTTCAAATAACACAGCATTATAATGCTTGGAAAAGTGGAAGACATGGACCAGAGTGATTGCTTACATTCCAAGATTTTTGTAGACAAAATCTTTGTTGCCTGAACATATGAAAGGTAAAAACATTTTGATACACCCAAAGGTTCCAAGCTGAAGGAGTGTGTGAATTAGAAGTGTTAGGATCCCTGATAAAGCAGGGATGTGCAGAAGCTTCTAAGTGTTCACTCTTATGCATGTAGAATTCTTGTTTGACCCTTAGAACAACATTGAACAACATACATGAAATATGGAATGGGACAGACAGAGACGCTGCCAGAGTATGAGTCTCTGTATATCCCCCTCCTTTTAGTTGCACACATTCAGGAAAAAAAATGTTTAAAAAACTGTATAGTACTTTCTAACGACTTGGACTTCCTTGGTTCCTGATTATTTTGTAAATAAACGTTTTCATTCATTCGTTTATTCGTTCATTCATGCTTGTCCAGCGAAATGGAAACTGTTTTGGGTTTTTTCCCCAATTACACAAAGCCCTTGCTTGAATAACAAACTTAGTGATAAGAAGTATGACAAATACTGTATTAACTTCCATGATGGCCTTCTCAGTAGTATTTTCATTTCAACAAATGCATGTTGATCGTATGGAGATGGACATAAATAGTGAGCATCAGATCTTGGGATGGGGGTGGTGATAATATTTTGAGTCATGTTACTGTCTTTTCAGAACTCACATAGCCACACACACCCTAATACCAGAAGCCCTATTCCCTTTGCTTGGACAGCTGCTTTTCATGGAATTGCCTGCCAGATGACATACCAAAGCATAGCCAGATAACATTATGTAAACAAGCAAGATTCCACAGAGAACCAGACTGCTAGGCTCCTATAGGAAGAATTCATTTTGGACTTTGCATTTTTTGTCTGCAGACACTCCTGGTGTATTATTTCCTATGGGAACTGTGCAACGTTAGTTGACAGCTCTGGAAACTACATCAACAACAGAATTACTTCCACTAAGGAGAGCAGCTTTGGGAATAAAGCCAACAATTCATTAACAGCAATGAACTGCCCCGCAACCTAATAGATCTCCTGAAATAAAAAAATAAACAGAAATATCTTAGAGTTGGGGAAGGTTTTATGACTGCTATTTATCACCTAATACTTCAGGATAAATTTACCAGAAAAAAGAAAAAGAAACAAAAAGCTGTTATCATCACATATGTTTCCTGCACAGAGATCAAAACAAGTGTTTTTGTAATGTTACAAAGTCTCCCGGGGAACTACTCCATCATTTTTAAAAAATGTGATGGAACAAGTAGAGATACAGAAAGTTTTAGAGGAAACAGATATATAGTGAACTCTGACACAGGCTGCTTCCTTTGCCCAGCACAGATACAAGAGCAATTTGGATAAGCAAGAAGGAAAAACAAGATGATATCCAATGGAACCTGTTTATGCTGGAGGCAAGCATAGCAACAAAACATCTTCTCTAAAGAAACGGGGCTGAGTTTCATGAAAAGCAAATGGTGGCCACATTCAACCCTAAGGAAAACTCCAAGAGCTGCATTAGGGCAATACTTTCAATAGGTCAAAATATCAAAAGAGTATGTGTGTTGACACTCTAAAACAGGGGTCAGGGAACTTTTTTACCTTTTACCCCCTAAAAAAAAATTTATACGCCGACATTACCCCCTTGATTTGAAAGGAAGGATCTCAGTCACGTGCGGCCTATCGAGTGCCATTGCCTAAGCCTCGCCACCCACACCCAGGCCACCTCCGCCTCCTCTGCCTGGCGGGGCTGCGCTCAGTCCTTGGCCCCGCGGGGGGTGGCTCCCTTCTGGCTTGCCCGCCGGGGGCGCCTGACATCACCTCCCGCTCCAGCACCAGCGGCTGCTCACTGGGGCAGTCGCATCGGACCTCAGAGTCAGGGCTCCCGCAGGCCTCACAGTCGAAGCACCGTGACAGCCGCTGCACGGAGGGCGAGAGGCTCCGCCAGGCCCGGCCGGCCAGCGTGGAGGTGCCACCAAAGGAAGTCACACGGCTGGGTGAGCACTGCTGCTGCCCGATGGGCTCTGATGGGGACATGGCATGGGGTGGCGTCTCAGCATCGGAAGGCTGAGCCTGGCTCAGGCCACTGTCGTGTCCCTGCCTGCCCCCCTCCACCATGATCCACCTCTCCAGGCACTGGAAGGAGAGGCTCCACCATGGCCAGCCCCACCACCGCCGCCTTGGCTGCCGTCGCTGGCTGCCATCCACCATAGCTCAGTTGCAGCCGGGCTGGAGAAGGGGGCAATCAGACAGCCGGGGACCCCCCTCCGGACAGAGGAGGAGGAGGAGGGAAGGGGGTTAGGGTCGCATCCTCATTACCCCCAGGATTTTCATTTTTAACCCATTTGGGGTAATTTACCCCTGTTCTCTGACCACTGCTCTAGAACTCTTACGCAGGCTTAGGTGGCAGCCAAAGCAAGGAATGAGGAATACTTTGGGTGATGCTAAGGCCAAGGAGTCTGCATTCTTTCACATTCTCTGGATAGAAAGTGGGAAGGAGTAGCAGACATCCAAGTCTGTCCTACTAGGTCCTATGCAGGTTTTGGGTTGCAACTAGGATTTCCGGGATGAAGAAATATACCGTCTCAAATGAGCTTGGTTTAGTCTATCCACAGGAGCAAGCTTTTGCTTTTACTCCCTTGGGGAAACCTTTCAGAGTTCTGCCCTTGGCCTTCTGGTATCCCACTCCTACCCATGAACTTGGGGTGACCTATTCCTAGTCCTAGGGTTTTCAGTATTACTGTATTTTTCCGTGTATAAAATGACACTTTTTACTTAAATAATTAGACAAAAAAATTGAGGGTCGTTTTATACACAGAAGGCAGCCACTTTCCCTGCCTTTTGCGAAGCGACAGAGTAAAGCCATCGTGAAAGGGCGGCAGGATCACAGGGGTGCATTTTGCCAGGCACATGCCGCCCTTTTACAGCTGTTATCCGTTTCCTAAGCCCCGCATGAAAGGGCTTCTGGCCCAAAGGGGTGCGAGCGTGCACATTTTCTAATTTGGCGGTTAAAAAGGGGGGTGTCATCTTATAAACAGAAAAATACGGTAACCCTACTAATGGCTGATAGCACCCATCTCCACCTATCTACCACAGTTTCTCCCTTATAACTCCACATCTCCCAAAGCCTGATATTTCTGCTTTGATGTTTCATTACTCTCTAACTCACAGTGTCTGAGACTGAGCAGCTCATCTTGCTTCTTACCTATTTTGTTTGGTACATTTTCTTTATCCACTGTCAAAATTACAATCCAACTTGTTGAACAAATCCTGACTCTTGTCTGCTCCCTTATTGAGTCTGCTTCCAGATCTGTTTTGAATCTCAATATAAAAGTGTGGCCTTTCTACTCCACTGATTTAGCAACTCCCCAATCTACTTCATGTTCAAGCTATTTCTCGCTAGCCTTATTGGCTATCTTCTCCTCTTTAGTGTTCTGCTGCTACATCTTCGCTCTCCCATTTCCTTTCAG